TCCGCTCTATATGCGGGGTCTTACTGTACATCATACTATTGAAAGGTCTGAAAGGGAAATTCAACAAGAATCTTGATATCAGAAGTCATTCAGTGATTCATTACCATATGTAAGTCTTGGTTTTCTTTCACAATCGCCATGAGTCTTGCTTTAAATGCAGTCATCTCCTCCTATCATGGAAACAATGAGATTCGTAAAATTGCCGTCGAATAATATTTTCTAGCCTCCTCCYAATGGTCTCTTTTCCTTTCTGCTCTTCTTCCTACTCCTGGAAGTCCTGACCTCCTTAATTTTAGGCTAAAGATCTTCCTCACTTCCAAAATAACGGCAAAGWAACCTAACCCTCTGTGACATGCTACCATGACCGAACCAGACAAAAATCGGGACGTTCAATTTAAACTTGTCATCACCAGTTAGTTTCAGGCCGAAAAATACGAGGTAAAATACCACTCAACAATAACTCATGGTTTGATTGACAKTTGCACGTCATGAGTTTTCCATGGCTAGCTTGTGTAGCAATGCAAATAACGCGGTTTTAATTAAGTTGCCGAGCAATGTTTGCTTGGTATTTGATATCATGAGGCAATATTCGTCTCCTCTAATGACGTCATCATAAAAAAAAATGGAGGATGTCTTAAGCCTTAGCCTCCACTTTTTTCAATACTACGATGCACTTCGCCAAAACAGACAATAGTTCATTAGGCAAAACGACCATTGCTAGCACCGTCTTAAAAAATAGTCTAACTTGAATCGATGTGAGATACCAGTTGTAGAATTGCCTAGAAGGCAAGCTTTTACGATATTGTTGGAAACTGTTAAAGAGAGTTTTTCTTTTCTATTTATGAAAGGTTCCCTTTACCAGTATAATTTAAAAGATATAGAAGAACACAAGTATGGTCCACGTCCTGCTGTGGATGACGTTTTATTTCTTAAAAATAACATAACATTCACAGCAGAACTTGGTCTCCATGTCATCTTATTTGTTCTCATACATCATAGACTTTGATGATATCATCCCTTTCTTTAAGTCTGTCATCGTAAGCCACGAACAATGGGGCCAAAAATTTAGTATTGACCTGTAAAACAAATATAATCGTTAAACAAACATAAATTAACAGTCAAAAAAGGGTAGGTACAACTATCGCCCGCCACTCAAACCCTCTACCTGTAGCCACCGGCTACGCGGCTACGCAGTGATAGACACASGGATACCAGAATACAAGCAACTATATTTTCATCGACCGATTCAGCGACTGGCTACTACGCGGCTAACTCCGTAGCCGCGTAGCCACTTCGTAATATAGCAGAGTATTCGGCAATTAAACACAGGAAGTCCTATGTATTTATTTTCAGCTGTATCCTTCGTTCATATGAGACGTTTTTTTGCGGGGTATTCGATAGTTACTACTAAAGGGTAATTTCATCTCAAATAGCTAATATAGTCAATGGGCACCACCAACAATGCTATTCCATAAATACATGAGTCCAAACCCTTTTTTGAGCTAAAAAATGGAGCTGCGATTTTTGCGGCTATTTTATCGCAAACCAAAATCACTTGTGTTAACAGCTGCAACAATTGCACCCGGGGGCACAAGGGGGGAAATCCTTAATATAAAAGGCCGGGAGTCCTCGTCGTCCCTTTTAGGGTTTGAAATCAGTGTTTTGGTCCCGCTTAGGGTGATAATGACGAGAATTCCCACCAACAGAGTTTTGTGGTACCTCTTAGGGTATACGACGACTCTAAGCCCTTATCAAATATTGGTATATGACAACGTCGTCATAAACTCAATACGAGMCATCGGCGTTTGATTCTTGTTCCAAAACACAAATAAAATCCGAAAACCAAAACAAAATAAACGTTTAYTGACTGGTCCCTCTTAGAGGTGAAATTTCAGTACTTCCACGCCCATCATCTCACAATAGAGGTCCCTYTTAAGGGTCATTTTCAGAATTTCCGACGAGGACCCCCACCCTTTTTTATAACGGAGTCACCCTCCCGGGCAACTGCAGCTCATATTTCATGACGAAATCGCTAGTGTAAACAGGCCTTTACAAAATAGGCATAATTTCCTCAATTCACTCTTGCAGAGACAAAACAAAATCATGATTAACAGATTTATCGAGTAGAATAGAAACCATTTCATGGACGTGACATTACATCATGCTTTGTATTTGGAGAGAGCTGTTTGCTAATTTGCAATTTAATGAATATAATATCAAGAGTAAATCAAATAAAATACATACCAGCCATGGACATGATCCTGGGCTTTTAGGAAATATAAAGTCATCAACCTCCTGACATTGAGAGTACACAAAGTTTTAATTCATAATTCGACATATAAAGGTCCAGYTATTCAATGGAACACCATTTTGAAGCCATACGTTTGCAATGAAGCGAAATGACCAATGTCCAGAGAGATTTTTCACATTTGCAGTAAATTGAAAACTTCAAATTCCAAACAATCATAAAAACGTTTAAAGAAAAAAAGTGATGCGCTCAATTATATATAAACGAAAAAGAATGGAGCATACAGAAAAAACAGTGATCACGTCTGCATTAGTTTTGACACTTGACGCTTGCAGTTAACGTGAATCTAAAACTCTCTATTGTCTTACTAAAAAGCTTTTTCCCCTCCCCCTTTCCCACAGAGCCGCTTCGCAGGCTACAGTGTACCTAGCTATGTACACTGGTAGGAAAGGAGGTATCTATCGTCTCAATGGTCTTTGGGAGCTGGATCTAAGGCACAGCTACCGTTCAAGTAGCAAAAASGGAACTATACGAATGTGACCAAAACCCACAACTAGTAAACTAGATAAATTAAAGTGCATATAAAGGAATTTTTTGTGTGTGTTTCCTAAGGATAGTTTACCAATCATTAAATATGGTTTGAGGAAAAGAAATTCAAAAACCGAAATAGCGGTGTGTGTTTGAGGCGATTCAAGTTCAAAAAATGGCCTCCCGTGCTTTTTGTATCGGGAGAGTCCTAGAGAGACTGGAGACAACAAACGTGTGACGTAGCTTCAGTCGGATCAGTCTCGAAGTTTGCAGAGAAATACTATCAAAATTCCGTAATTCAGGTTTGAATCTGACAATAAGAAAAGGAAATTCGGGAATTAATATTCGAATGAATTATGTCACCAAGTTCTCATTAGCAACGATGTGCGCCAAAAAAACATCTGACGGATGCTACGTCACGCTTATTGTAGCCAGTCCCCCTACTAGGACTCTCGCTATAGAAAACACTGGAAGCCATTTTCTGAAGTTATCGCCTCAAATACACCCCACTATTTTGATTTTAGAATTTCTTTTCTTCAAACCATATTTAATGATTGGTACACTTTCCTTAGAAAACACAAAAAAAATTCCTCTATATGCACTTTAAGTATTTTTCACCATTTGTACCTCAGCTGTTGCCTGTCTGTATTTCATTTGATATCTACTCAACTCCATGTTCAGTCTGTGAACTACAAGAGTATGAATTCATTACTTTTCAAGTTGGTTTCACTTTTAACTTCAGAGTTGACTTAAAGAGACAACATCTCATCTTCAAAATGTTCAAGAAACAGTCTATTCAAAATAATTTTTGTCCATAAATAACTTAGTTTCCGAAGATACCATCTTTTTACATGTACATGATTATCTAATGCATTTTASTGCAGGAAAGGAATGGTACTGCAGTTCTGATTACTGGCTTTCCCCCTCTCATTTCTGGGATTGAAAATGCCGAAAAGGAGACAGACAAACTGCCATTAATGATAGGATTTGATGGAAGATGCTCAACTCCTGAACCCTTCCTGTTGAAAGTTCCTCAGAAGATATAATTTTTTCTCCAAACATAGCGTGCATGTATATACATGTACTTTAGGTTGATATTTGCTTAAAACTTTCTCTCTTTTTTGTTCTTTTTTTTCTGTTTTCCTGTGACCCTTTTACTTACAACTAAACAGCCTTGCTCCTTGGCTGCCACTCACCAACAAAATGCTTTATGGCTAATAAATAACTATCTAAGGTACACATGCTAAATGATGGTATTAGGAAATTAAAGTTTCACTCACTTGTGTCCTTCAGAACTTTATTTTCTTGCTGCAGTTCCTTGATAAACTGTTGTGTTATCAGTGATTTTCCTCCTATAAGACACACAAAACATTCATCATTTTCTTTTTATTTACTAAACCCATCACAAGAGGATTATGGGTTGAGCATTGYTCACACAAGGACTCTGTGCCCTACATGTACTTTTACGTAGTTGAATAATGGCATTGGGTTCCTTTGTGTTTCTTCACTACTACATTTAATTCAGTGACAAGCAGACTTGATACATTATAAGGATCATGGTCCATCAGCATTCAATGCAGACCTGATCTTTTAGATCTTTTATATATGGAAAATGAGGTAACTTCAAATGCCATTTCATAGATAGTTTCCATCCGTCATCAATAAATCTTACGATATCCCCATTTCATAAAGCATAAAGGGGGGATARTACATTTTAGGTTTTGCGTATATTATGCTGTATTTTTATTTCAAAACATATTAACAAAAGCTCAAAAGGAATGCTAGTGGGCCATGGACCTTGAAATGAATATCATGAAATCATAACTGCAAACGTACCAGAACCTCTTTCCATAGAYTCAGTAAACTGCCTCAAAACCTGATTTTCTTTTTGTAAAGAGACATTGAGCTCTGTCAGTCTTGTATTTTCTAGTGTCAACATATCTATATTGCTACTGATGGAGTATTTGGTGGCACTCTTACTACTCTTCTTCTGAAACTGCTTGCTATGACTGYGTGAAACAGGTATTGCATCAACCTGTTGGCATGACAGACAAGAAACTTGAYCTTATTTACTATCATGATAAAGAGGGATTTACTCATCTATTAATTCAGTCAGGACTCCCCATATTATTCATAATATCATATGACATTGTTTCCGTGCCAAATAATTTTTTTACGGGAACAGATTTGTTAGGTCTATGTCCAATGCCCAACCTGGAGGACCAGGGAATTACTCTTTGTCAGTACCCTACCCTTCGACCTGTTTGACATGGGAGGCCCTACCAGGAGTCCAAGGCTCCAGTCAACATAGCTCTAGGGGTCAACAGGATACTCAAACAGCTCCACTACGATAAGGTGGTAATTCCATCGGAAAGGCTGCCCTGAATGCCACTAGGCTTAACGGGCAGTAAGTAATTAAGTAATGACATTGCATAATTTACATAATCTTGAAAAAAAGACATAATCACAAATATTAAATTGACTGAAATTTTCACAAAATAAAGAGCATTTGTCCATCCATGCATTTGTTTATCCATCCATTTGTTTATCCATTAATTTGTTCATCTAATAACTATATTCATCCATTCATCTATTTGACTGCTTATTCATTCGACATTTGTTGTACTCCATTTGTTTGTTCATCCAATGATTTTTTCATCCATTAATCTTTGCTAGGGACATGAACCTTTACATTTGATAACAGTCATTCATAATTTAATATTTTTAGTATTATATTTAAAGAATACTAATAAGGATTTTGTATCAGATATAAGATGTATGTGTCCCAATTAACCCTAGTCCATTTTTTTTTAATTATCAAGAGTACCTCATCAGTTATTGAGCTAGGAATAATATCATCTTCAGTTTCTTGTAAACCATCAAGTTTTCTKGCTTTCTTGGAAGGTTTGATAGCTGAAATACTTTTTAATTCAATTTCAAGCTTCTTGCTTTTTTCTTCCTGCTCTTTTATCTTTATTTGCAATGCTTCTTGCTGGGTTTCCAATGCCTGTGTGCAAGCCAAAATACAGTCAGGTAATTGAGAAATTTTGAAAATATTCAAGTTTAAATCAATACTAACACTGTATTTTTATTCATAAAATAATATCACCACCCCTTTGAAATACATGGAACCCGTGTAATTAATTTACAGCCAAGCTGTGTYCAGATGGACTGTCTATTTACCTTTTAATACCATCATTCTGCCACTAACAAGTTTTGAACAAGCCAACAAAAGTAAATCAAATCAAAGTATGAATGAAATATTTACCTTTCTCTCTTGCTGGAATTTTAATGCTTGCTGCTCTAGCTGTTGTTGCTGTAGCCTGTGCAGCTTCTCATATTTCCGTTGATGTGACTGCTGCTCATTCAAAAGTCTTATGATTTCCTTCTCTTGCCACCGTATATCTGCCAGGTCACTTTCCTTGGGACTTAACATGCTTAGGTTTGACTGAAACTCTTTCTGCTGATATTCTAAAATAACATAACCATGAAATTTACACAGTCAGACTGCGTAGAAGCATAAAACATACTTAGTCTTAAAGTTACTGTAGATTCTAGGAGAAATTTGAATTTGCAACATATTGGTATYGCCCATTMCGAAATTCAAAAAGGGACTGGTGACTAGTCATAAAATCGATACYGTTTGAAAGCAATGGAAAAATAGATTTTTTATTTATACGTAGTTTGTTTAATCAATCATGAATAATTTTAAACTTCTTTCCAAGCTTTCGACCTAAGCAGTCATCTTCAGGRAACACAAAGACGTTACAAAAACAAAAACAAAAAYGCATTCAAACTGAAATGAAAAAATACATACCAGGACAAGAAGATTGCATACTAAAAATAGTACAGTTGTTGAGTTTGAGCATATTSGGATTAATATTTACAGAGTTACACGCGTTTAAAACTCAAAAAATTTACAAAGAATGTATGSAGCTYTTGAGCAGCGTCCCCAAAAACCATACATTCGCTCTTATTTACAAATTTGAAAAAAWTTCTACTAGGTRAGTATTCAACAAATAGTCTCRAACTTGAGAAGAACACTAATTGTAGTATGGTCTTTCATGTGGTGAGATTAAATTTTCGATACTATTTGACTATTTTCATACTCGTTCCCAGTCTCCTTTTGAATTTYGGAACTGCCAATTGTGCTAGCCTCCTCGGGCATAATTTTAATACTCATTTCTGCTCTTCTTTCTACTCTTTGGCTTCCTGTCTTCCTTAATACTACCAAGTAAGACTTGACCTCTGCTCAGCCAAAAGGATACCAGAAGAGAATAAAAAAGGCCAAAATGAAGTGTTGTCTGCTGAGGAGGCTAGTATTGTACAGGATGCAGTAATGTTTTTTCTTGAGACAACTTGCAAAAAAAATCGCCACAGTACAAAGTGCATTAGAACAACATGAATGTAAATCATTACATGCTAGAGTCATAATTGAATGATTGACACTTTCACTTAAAAATGTAGACACACCTAGATCTTTTATTTGATCACAAATCTTCTGTTGTTGGTTAAGTACCCTTTCCTGCTGACTCTCATATTTTGCTTGTTGTTGTTGCTGCAGCCGAAGAAAGTTTTCCTGCTGTTCAAGCATGTCTTTTGGCATGTTAAAATCTTGGTTAGATGAAGGACTAGAAAGATTGAGAAGTCTCTCACTTTGGAGTTGTTCTAGATGTTGCAATTGCTTCTGTAGATCAAGCTGTTGTTGTGTTAGTTTTGCTGCTTGTATTTGCTGTTCTTTTTGTTGTTGTGCTTGTTGTCTGTAAACAGTTTCTTGCTGTTTGATTAAATCTTCAAGTTGCCTCTTTTGTTCATTGAAAGAAATAGCTGAGTCAGCTTTATTTTCAAATTTTTTTGGTGACAACTTAGAACGGTGCTTCATGCTCTCTTCAGGCATCTCAYCAAAGAGAGAGTTAGGATATGGAGATCCTTCTAAATTCAAATCATCTGACTCTGTCACTTTTATTTCTTCATTAACAATCATTTTATTGGGAAATCTTTTGTCTCTAGATATTGGATAACCTCTCAAAGTGATGCCTTCCTCATCTTCAGATATATCTGATAGCTCTACTTTTTGTGAAGTGCCTTCAAAGCCTACCCTCTCTAAATGTCTTTCTTTATCAGCATGTGGATTATTTCCAGTCAAATCAATTTCCTCCTCAGGTGCTACTTGTGATCTTCTTTTAAGACTAGATTTTTTGAAAACCTTCTTTCCACTAGATGAACTATATAGTGTTTCTGTTGGTGAAGTCTTACCATCTATGTTATCATCATTTTGATGCTCATCATCTACAGTATCAATAGAATTGCGCTTTTTTGATAGATGTATTGATCGTTTAGACTTCCTTTTTGGTTCATTGCTTTCCTCAACATGATGCTCAAACAAGCCCTCAATATTTTCTTGAGGACTTTGTTCCTCAGATATGCTTTCTTCATTGCTTTGTCTTCTGACTTTCTGAGGCTTTGACTTCTTTTTGTAACGTTTTGAGTTTCGTTTTACTGGAGCAGTAGAAGAGCTGTCCTCATCATTACTAGTCACATCTGTCAAGTCATCTTCAGAGCTAAGTGCTATGTTTTCATCAGTAATATCATCATAGTCATGCTGAAAATAAAAATTGATTTGGATTCATATTTAATCAGGATGAGGGGAGGGATTACTGGGAAGTCTGAGAGAAGGGAAAGAGGGACTGATAAATACTTCATTTTACAGTTCCCAGCCTCGAAAAGTACTGAGCCTTTGAGCCTGCAATGATAACTATCTGCAATTTTAATTCAATCACAAATTTCCTCAGCTCTTATTGTCTGAGCAGTGCAGCTTCAGAATTTTGAAAATAAAATAGTTMATTTTGCTATGATAGTTGCTGATGGAAACTGGATCTTCCTCAAAACTTCAAAGTCTGCGTTCTCAGGCAACTACTTGTTTTTCAGAACATCCAGCTCCTGCAAGCAGCTATCACAGCATAATGCCCTCACTTCAATTACTCTATTGTTCAAATATCATCATTCCCTTTGCCATCTCCAAACAACAATGCAAGCACAGTATTCCTTTAATGCAAAGATGGTACAGTGTACTGACAACTGTAAAATTGAGTAGTGCAATATTTYGAATTTGGTAATCAATATGCCATCTGGTGAGTAAACGACATACCGACAGTTGTCCTTTATTGCCTTGCTTGGATTTCTTTTTACTTTTGTCCACCTTGGCGTAAACTGGCTCAGGTTTTTCCTCGTCAGCAGTCTCACCCTCCAGTACATGGTAAGTATGTTGAACACCAGATGGTCCCTGCTCGCTACCATTATTCTTGGCAAATTTCGTCGTTTTGTCATAATCTGTACCAACATCAACTRTCTCGTACGTCGAGTCCTCTTGTGGTTGAACGGACGGTAAATCGGCCGCTGGACGATTAGATGGGTCACGTTGTACTGATCCTTGAGAATGAGTTCTATTCATATCACCAACAAGTGCCCACCCTATGTTTCCCGCCGAGCCGATGGCTTGAGAGACAGGGGATCTTCGAGGCCATGTTGATGACAGTGATCCAGATGGAGAAGCACTTCGCGGCGCAGCGGCAAAGATTGCACTTGGAACCAGGTGAGAAGCAATGTGAGACTAGAAACGACATTCAAACACCAAGTTAAATCATCAAGAGCTTTCACTTTAAGCAAAATTAACACCAAGAAAATGTGATTGTTTAAGCTTATGTCCTAATGGATATTGCAGCGTTTCAAAATACATGATTGTGGAAGCTGTATTTTTAAGATTTTCGATATAAATCAATCCAATTTTAGTCAGTGAATTAATACTAATGATAGTTTAGGATAATAGTCTAGTTTCGTTGTCTTACCAAAGCACCAGAAGACTTTCTTTTGTCTTTTTTCTTTTTCTTACCCGCCATTTTGGATTTGTTACACGCATGCGTAACTATACAAAGATGCTACTCGGTCGTCATGGAGATCATTTCGCGCCAGCACAGTGTACCCATCTTTTGGTTTTTGCCCATCATTTACTTCCTCGAATAAATTGAGACCGTTGGGGGGTGTTCAGCACTAAAATGGCGCGAYATTTTGGCGGAAAATTTGCACGACGGATTGCAGTAGACCTAATCGGCTGACGCGTCGCTATTTGCAAACCACCCGGGAGAAAGTTTCATTGTTGAATTCTTAGAAACAAAACTTATTTTTCCCACATAGCAATAACGCGTTAGCCGATTTGGTCTGTTAAATTTCMCGTAAGTGGACACCCTTGGGAAACGAAAAAGGTGTCCGCAAGTAAAAATGTCAGTAGAAAGGGATCTTGAAACGTGAAATATAACGTGAAATATTTTTGCTTAATAGTTAAAATAATTCCCGATGGTTAATACCCTGGGAACCAGAGGCTGGATTTACTCGTTCTTGTAGTTTATATACGGCGCCAAGCGCCGTCCTTGAGGCCGAAGGCCGAACCGTGTTCGGCCTTCGGCCTCAAGGACGGCGCTTCGCGCCGTATATAAACTACAAGAACGAGTAAATCCAGCCTCTGGTTCCCAGGGTAGATGGTTAACGGTAGTGATTAATAAAGCGTGACTCAATTAATGATTAAGCGATTTATTTAAAATTTAGTACTGTATGTATTCCTGATAGGTTTACATACCATAGCAGGCACTGCAGAGCCGGTGTTGCTTGGGGGACTTAGCTGCCCAAATATTTTGGCCGCTATTTTGAAAATATTCGTCCAATTCATCTGTCACTTCGCAAAAGTTGTCCCATTCCAATTTAGTCCCCCCCCCCCCCCCCAATGAAAATTGTGCTCCACAGTACTTTGTAGACCCTGCAGATCTGATTATACAATATCATAGTGCATTGTGGTGCAGCCTTACTACAAACAACACCATATTTTGACTATATGGACAACTTATTAAATGATGTTAAAATGTTTTCGTACGTAGGATTCATTATAAATACTCAGTTTTGTTCCTTCTACGTGTGTTTTAATTTTCCGAGCTTTCGGACAACTTGTCCATCATCAGGGCAAAATGAAATTACAATGCGTGCGCGAGGATACAAATGTAAACAAAACACTATGGTAACATAACTGCTTAAGAGCGCGCAATAGTTCAAATCAATTAACATGCTGCGCGAGCATAGAATTACACGAAAAATCATTGGATTACAATAAAAGGATAGAATGTTAAGACTAGTTAATGTGTCAAGAGTTCTTTATAAGAATCAGGCAGAGTTCGTCCACTATTTTTGTTAAAAAGGCAGTTTTTGTTCTTTGAAATCTTTATAGCTTCAAGCCAGCGTCTTTGTATCCATCTAGGTTCTTGGGCGAGGATTGAAGACTCTTGCCACGCGATATCATGTCCTGTGTGGTTAGCATGGTCTGCTAATGCAGACTTGTCACATTTGTCTAAACGCACACAGGTCATGTGTTCTTTCTTTCGCGTGGCGAAAGCTCTACC